TATTTTTTTAAGAATGTGAAACCTTCTCGGGGATCCCATCTGTCCTTTTTTAAAGAAGGTGAAACCTTCTCAGGGACCCCAAATGTATTTTTTTAAGAATGCGAAACCTTTTCGGGGTGCCAATTGTCTTTTTTAAAAATCTAAGACCGCCGGGGGGGGCCTAAATATTTTTTTTTAGAATGTGAAACCTTCTCGGGGGTCCCAACTTTTTTTTTTAATGTAAAACCTTCTCGGGGGCCCCAAATGTCTCTTTCTTTAATGTAAAACCTTCTCGGGGGCTCCAAGTGTCATTTTTTAAGAATATTAAATCTTCTTGGACCTCCCAACTATCTTTGTGTAATAGGGCAAAACCTTCTTTTTTTCTATTACATTGTGACTAATACCTTCTGTATTGTTTTTACTCCATAGAGATTATCACGAAAAAGTAAAATTCCGCAAAATCAAATTTTATAATTTTTCAGAGAAGAAGTATTTGTTGGACTGTACTTCAGACGCGAGGGAAGTGCTGTCAGTGTAAAAATAAGTGCACGTGAAAATTGATATCGGCCTATTTCACAAGGCAATTAAGTTTTGTTGAAAGATAACTAATTACATTTATTAGATTTTAGAACATTTAAAAAAAAATTTATTTAGCAAATTTTTAAAGTGACGTCATTAAAATTGTGGTAGGATAGATAGATAAATTTTGGTTAGCATTCTAACAGGCTGTTGGAAAGATAGACCTCAAAGTATGGTGCAGCGGTTTCTCAGATAAATTGTAAAAATTTTGTTGTACAATTATCAATTTTTTTTCAAACATCGTACAAATGTAGGGTTAAAAATATGTATACACTGATGAACTATAAGTTTTTTTTTGAAAGATTGCCAGTGTTTGCGTTGACCTTACAAGGCCTGCAAGTTTTCAGACAGTAGATACAGTAAATTCTAAGTTAAATTATGTCTATAAATTTCCAAGTAAAATTTTGGTTTTTTTTCCCAAAAATCCGAATATCTACCAATAAGTAAAAAAAATACAGTGCATTAATAAACTATAAATACTCATGGTTATTTAATTCGCCTTATTTTATAAAATTTAACCACCGACAGCGACAATCGTTTCTGTAGTTTCGGAGATTACATGTGTATAGTCCGTTTACTGAACAGATAGAGCTATCAAGTGCGCCCGTGGTACCAAAGTGGGTGCCTGCTTATAAATGCATTTTATATTTTCCTTCTTTTTTTTTTAAATAACATACAGATGGAATCAGGCATCGAAATCAAATTTGCATGTGTAATATAAGCAAAAATAAATTTAAAACACATTTATTTCAAAGAATTTCAATCGAAATGTTATTATCATATGGTAATCAGTGCCACGGTATTCAAACCGAATCATATTGTTAATGCGGATATTTTTATCACTCAATAACAAGTTTTAAATTTTTAAATTAGAAAAACCGCAAATCAAACTAACAGTAAAGTTTTGTGGTAAATTAATGCACGATTTGGTAACAAAGCCAACTTAATAGAAGTATGTATCAATAACTAATAAAAATACAATTTGATTTTGATTTTAAAATTAAACTTCGAATCGGTATCTGATTCCCCCAGAATTAAAATCAAAGGCTTGCAGAGGTTTTCTATTTAAAAATAAAGTTTTAAAAAATGATAGGGAACTGACAACGAGCACAAGTTGACCCAAGCGGAAAGGACCAATATTAGGATTTTACAAAATCACGTGAAGATCACGCACTTTTACAACTCCATCTGTTCGGTAAACAGAGTATAATAAAACCGATAGATGACAGACCTACGGATGGAAACGTGCGATCTCTTTTAAATGAAAATTACAAAATATCGAGCAAACACTGTTCGAAGCACGTAGCTTCCGTTAAACCTCTAAAATTGTTTTAAAAACACCTCAGAACCACTATTTTAAAAATAGTTCGAAAAGACAACACGCTGCTGAAAAATTAAATTACTGAGACTTTACAACCCCGGAAGCTGTCAAGCTTTACTCTTGTCTAAGAACAACGCACGTAGCACATTTATACAACAAACATCCTACAGGTAAACATGTGAATTCAGCAAAGCTCTCTCGTTGCATGTCCAGTTCCTCCTAAACCAGAAACCGCAACAATGCACATATTCTATACCGCAATTCACTAACTTTATCGTCTTTTGTTGTCAAAAGCACTCCTTCAATCTTAATCCCGCAATATTTCGTTAACTAATTCCGGAACGAGCTTTAGAAATCACATGTAAGTCAATAATATCGCTTCCAAACTTCCTCAAAGCTTCCCCGTAATTATCAAAAGTATCGTAAACGATAGGGATTTTCAAACGAATAATTAACTTAAGTGTAACATGGGTACAAAGTTTGAAGGCTCTATTTAAGGGCTTGCTCGGAAAATGTTGATGTATTGAGGCTAAAATGAGTGACCCAAGAGGAACCTTCCAAATTATCTCCTGTTCCGAGTGAGTTTGTCGCCTGTATCATCCCTCACGTTGACATTACAAGTAAAATATATCATTTCTCCAGTGACAGATGTCCTAGGACGTATTATCACTATCGCAGAAAGGTAACCCAGATCGATACGTGTAACTAACGGCGTTTTGTGAAAGTAACTTTATAGAGCGATATAAAATTATTACGTATCTCGTACATTTTCATATCGCGGGCTTAATATTTAAAGGAAATGTGCGCTGTAACTTGTTTATCGGCTCTAATAATGATACAAAATATAATATTCCCTGTCGTAAAATTCCTATGATAAAACGTTCTCTCGATGGCTCTTACGATATTAAGATTAATGAGCGCGTGGAATAAGAACCAATAGCGTCCGACAGACGTAATTCTGTTAAGATCGGTGAAAATAAAACCGGTCGAGGAGTCGCAATGCACCCTGTGGATCCCCTCGGGACGTATGAATTGATAATGTACGAGTTAAACTGACCCATTAATAGTGAATTAGAGCCAACTATTGCTAATGGGTTTAGTTCAACGATACTCCCAAAACGCAGAACAAGTAATTAGCGGAACAAACGAGGTTCATTCCGTGTCAATATTTGCAGATCGGACGGAAATTTTATTAAAAAAATATTGAAAAATAGGGTAATCGTCAAACTGGATTTTTACAGGTGTGTTATTTAACTATTTCCTCAAGGATTTGAAGCAGAATATCATAAGAAACGCAGATAAAAGAAACTTTTTTTAATTGTGTGGGGTCGAGTTATTTTTGAAATCAATAGCTTCGTTTTATGTCAAAGAATCTACATTTTACTTTCTCCGCTTTAAATGTTATTTTTAGGATCGAGTACAATTTCGCTGACTTGCCTTGAGTTAAAAAAAAATTAACTGGAATTTAACGAAATACGAAATAATAGAACTTTTGAATCTTCAATACTTTCAAGGTTATCGTGATCTATTGAAGAATATTATGTAGAAAAAACTGTTGTAATAATGTTGGATAAATAGGGTATCAGCATGGAATACATTTAAACTTCACATAATTTTAAGATGGATAAAAGTGTAGGGAAGGGTATATGAAAACTACTGTAAATTTCTCCTGATGTGTGATACTGTTGTAAATTTATAGACCTGATGAAGTTTATGGTGAAATAAACGAAACTAGTCGTTGACTTTTGACGTGAGTTCTGGTTCTTTCTCACCACGGAGTTTTTGCTATATACAAGTGTTTAAGTTTGTGAATAAACTTTTAGATCGTATTTTTTTGCTGATAGAAAATTTTAATAGTAGTATAAACAGCACTCAATCCCGCTTTTGAAACGAGTGTAAACTTTAGGGAACAAACTTGAATATCTCGTTAATATTTAATGGAATTACTAACAAGTTTGCTTTCAAATGTTAGAAAATATCTAAAAATTAACAACCACATAACGGTTATATTTAATTGTAAAAACTGATAAAAATAGAAGAAGTTTTATATAAAAAAGAAGGATAATACCACAGTGCGAGAAAATAGTCACTCATTCGCTAAGAGCACTTGATTCTTCCTATTATATTACTATAAAATGTTGTTACACAATTTAAATTTTTCAAGGCAAATTCATAAACCACAAGTATAAGTATAGGCTTATTTATTTTTAATTTTAACTACTGACAAACTGTCGTTCTTTCGCACTTCCACGCCAACGTTAGCTGATTTATTATATTCCCGGAGACAGCGAAGGACCTTCTCTAGCAAATTTCTAAAAATTGGAGGTCCTTTTCGAGAAGGTGTAAGGATAACGTAATAAGCTCCCACGAACTAATGAACCGAATAAAATGAGATAAAATCTGAGTCCAAGAGCGGAACTCTGCGAATAAGCAGAAATTGATGTTTCATTTGCATCTGGTTGTAAAACGTGCAACCTTCATAAAGTTGTGTTAAAAGAAAATCGACAACTTTGTAAATTAACATTTTCCTCGTGTTTATCATAAAAGTACGTAATATTTCAAAGGAAAATAAATTTTTGCATGAATAGCCGACGTAAAAGCAAATTAACCATTAATTATAATATTGCATGTGTATTTTACGAAATTATGTCGAATGTAAACAAAAATTTGTGCATGCATGCATTCACGATTCAGCGAGAAATCAATGTTAACGAAAATGTTCATTGTTTGATTCCTTTCATTATATTGTTTCAGTTTTTGGTGCGGATTATGCACTGAAAATTTCGATGCTAGTCATTTAAAATTTAATAGCTTCTGTATCTCTCCACCGGGTATTCTTGATGCTTGCTTAAAAAACATAAACACTCGAAACTTTCAGCTACTTTCAATTACGGTGTACATCTTGAAGCACTCTCAACTTAATTAAAACAACAATCCATTTAATTCTTACTCGAGTTTAATTATTATCCCCCATTTTGTAGGCAAAAATTAAAAATAAAGTACCACTTGAGGTAGAAATTGATTTCGTATTTATTTATCGAGCCGGATTAAGGAAGTTTATATTGGATTTGTGAGATGAGTTTATCTTGAAAAAATATTATAAGTTGTAAGTAATCCTTACCTGTAGACGAATTTATGGAGAAAAACCTCTCGGGACTTCCAGACGTAATCCTGTATGTTATTTTCTGATTAGGGTCCTTATCCTTATCCGAAGCTCGTATCTGAAGTACTGAGCTACCGGCAGGACTATCTTCAAGGATACTTGGGTAGTAGACCGCTTCATCACTTAACGGAACGTTATCGTTTTCATTTAAAACTTCTATATAGACCTGAAAAAAAGTTCGGTGTTAAGAAGGGATGTTTTTACGTTCGTACACTGAAAACAAAATTAACCTCGACGTTGTGTTAAAATTGGAACAAGAACTATAAGATCATTTGATAATGTCATTATTAATACTTTTTGACGATATTGTCTTAATAAAAGATTTGAATCAGGTGAAAAAATTATTGTTTCTATGTGTATTTGATAGGATATTTGGTGCACATTACAGTCGGTACTTCCCTTTTCGACTAATCACTATTGCCAAGAAATTTGGCAGACGGCTATCATAAACTAAGGTAATTATGAAATTTTCGGCTTGTAAAAAGTAACTAGATACATCAACATTTTTACAAAATCTTGGTACATTTTTGACAACTGTATAAAATAGCATCAGGGGTAGTTTAACTGTACATATATAGATTCTGCTAATGTGGAAGACAATAATAATTCCATTGCAGAAATCAACAGTTAGGAAAAATTCGTCGCCTGAGAACTTGTTTGATCCACAGACCGGAGTGTACTCAGGCCAATGTCGACTCTAAGCGTTCAGAATTTTTGCGGGAAATGGTTATTATTTAGATGCTTTTATTTACAAACATAATATCACATCTTGTATGTTTCACTCGATTTTGACATGCAACAATTTTTTTTGTTTAACTAAAAATTAATTCTTTAATATTGTGTTTGACAAAACATCCTAAATTAACAATACTAGTGGAATCATAATCATTCAATAGATTTTTTTTGGGAAAGTGCAGTTATTTTTAGGTTTTAGAAACATTGTGTTCTGTTTTGTATTAATTTTTACATATTTTTTGTCACAATTTTGGTGGTTTTTTATTTTCCACTCTTTTTCAATTTTTCGATTTTTCGACTTATCGACTCCTCGATTTCTCGATCTTTTGATTTTTCGATTTCTCGATGTTTCGATTTTTCGATTTTTGCATTATCCAATTTTTCAATTTTCCGATATTTTAATTTTTCAGTGTTTTAAATTTTCGATTTTTCGATTTTTCAATTCTCAATATTTTTATTTTTCAGGTTTTTCAATTTGTCGATTTCTCAATTTTTCATTTGTTTATTCTCCCAATTTTTGGATATTTTGTTCAATTTTGTGATTTTTTAGTATTTCGACTTTTCGATTTTTTGAGTTCTGGATTCTTCGATTTTTCGACTTTTTACTTTTTGGATTTTCAATTTTACGTTTTTAAAACTTCAGATTTTTCGATTTTTCGATTGTTTTAAAATTCGATTTCTCAATTTTTCGATATTTTAACTAAAATTGAAAAACCTAAAATTTTAAAAATTGTTTTAAAATTTTAGGTTTTTCGATTTCTTGAGTTTTCAGTTCTTCTGTATTTTAATTTTTCAATTTTCGGAATTTTTAAATTTTCGATTTTCCAATTTATTTTTTAATTTTTCGATTTTCCAATTTTTTGATGTTTCGAAATATAAACGGGCAAAATCGAAAAATCAAAAAGTTAAAAATGGAAAAATTGATAAATCGAGAAATCGAAATACCCACAAAACACTCGAAAAATTGAAAAATCTAAAGTTTAAAAAAATCGAAAAATTCAGAAGTCGAAAAATCGGAAAGTCGAAGAATCGAAATATTGAAAAATCTCAAAATTGAGAGAAATATCCAAAAATTGAGAAATTAAAGAAATGGAAAACTGAGAAATCGAAACTCTAAGAATTCGAGAGATGGGAAAATGAAAAATAGATGAAGATTGAGAATCGGAAAACTGAAAATTTAGCAAGGTCAAAAATTGAAAAATAGAAATACTGAAGAACTGAAAAATCAAAAAATCGAGAAATCGAAAAATCTAAAATTTAAAACATTGAACAATTAAAATATCGCAAAACTGAAAAATCGAGAAATCCAAACATTAAAAAAAACAAAAAATAAAAATTCGAAAATCCAAAATTTAAAAATCGAAAAACTGAAAAATCGACAAATCGAGAAATCGAAATCCCAGAATTTAAACCTTAGAAAAATTGAAAAAACCGATCACTGAAAAATTGAAACATCGAAAAATTGAAAAGCCCAAAAGTAAAAAACTGAAAAACCGAGAAATCCAAAAATCGAAAGACAGAAAAATTCAAAAACTGAGACATCGAGAAATCGAAAAATTAGAGGATCGAAAAATTAACAATCAAACCATGGAAACATCTGAATTCGATAAATCGAGAAATCAAAAAATTGAAAAATCGAAAAATTTTAAAAAAGAAAAATTGGAAAATCCAAAATTTTAAAATTCGGGAAATTGAAAAACTGAAATAAAAAAGAACTGAAAACTCGAGAAATCGAAAAACTTGAAATGTTAAAAATCAAAACATCGAAAAATTGAAAAATTGAGAAATCGAAGTATAAAACAGTCGAAAAATTGAAAAATCTAAAGTTGAAAAAAAAGAAAAAAATTGAAAATCCAAAAAGTAAAAATCGAAATATTGAAAAATTCCAAACCTGAAAGAAATATCCAAAAAATTGAGAAATTAAAGAATTGGAAAATTGAGACTTCGAAAAACTAAAGAAGCAAAGTCGAAAAATCGTAAGCTTAAAAAAATTGAAAAATTGAAAAATCGAAAACCTGAAAAATTAAAGACATGAAAAAATCGAAACTTTGGAAAGACGGAAAATGGGAAAATAAAAAAAAAGATTGCTTCAGAAATCGGAAAACTAAAAATTTAGAAACGTCAAAATTTGAAAAATTGAAAAATCGACATGTTTAAAAATCATAAAATTGCGAAATGCGAAATCGAAAAGTAAAAAAATCGAGAAATCGAAAATTTGAAGAATGAAAAATTTGAAAACGCCCAAAATTGAAATATTGAATATGGTGTATTTTAAGTTCAGGACTATGCTACTTTTTAACATTTAAATAACATTTATTCAATAAAATTGTAAGATGACATCATCAATTCCTGGGGGATAAATTTTGGCAAATGATTTAACATGCTTCCAACAACTATAAATTGGAATAACAACATTTTACAATTTAACTTTGGAAACGCAAAATCGAATGGTTGGAAATTTCGCAAACAATTTAAGGTTATCGTAAGCATGGTAAATCGATAATGAAACTTTATCTCCCCCCTTCCCCCGAATAGGTGACATAATCGTCAAATTTTGCCCAATACATCCCCTCTAAAATGTACAAAACCTTATAAGCCTAAACTTGGGGTTCATCAATGCATTCATATTTTTCTACTTTATAATTTCAAAGAAGCGGGATTTGTTTGACCGTACTTCAGAGGACAGCGAATTTCTGTCGAAATAATTTTCGAACAATTTTTCAAAAATTATGGTCAGTACGTCTATTTTGTGTAAAATTTCAAACCGCCATCACATCTTTAAAAATGATGAGAGTTGTCCTAATCTACTTCCAATAAAACAAGCTCCTCAAAATACCGTATGATTGAAAAAAAAAGTTCTATGGCATGAAATTTCTTTCTAAAATAATGATGTTGGCAACAGCAACGTTACCTCTGTTTAGTTGGACGGTTATGGTCAAGTTAACTGTCAAATAGCTGCCATGTCAACATAATTATGTATTTTAAAAATAAGTTTGCCACCAGAGGAGTTTGCCATCATGTGTACTAAGCTTTTGTGGTCAGATTTTTTCTGTTTCATTAATTTTACAGTTTATTTTTGCTAGTGCCGTACTTTTCTTTTCTTAGCGTTGGGAATACTTTTTGCCTATTATCTTTGGCAAGTGTATCCTTCCATTTTAAATTTCTGTTTTATAAGAGTGACGGCAGAAGATAAAAAACCGAATTTACTCTTCCTGTTGAATGGGGGGGGGGGGGGGGGGCTGTCTATACTTCGGAGATATTTTTTCCTTTCTATCCGCATGTTGTTAATTCTTGTAGCCTGGACCTTTGGCTAGCACCTGCAAGCTTTTTTCGTCAAAATGGTACTAAATTTACGAACGAGTCCAGCGGTTTCTAATTACACTGGCCTGTGAAAAATCGGCAGTTCTACCCTCTGAATTAAATGATCTTGTAAGCAAGAATATCTGGCTAAGTACCGTGATTTGATAATTCAAGAAACATCGTTAGACGCTCACATTAGAAATATAATAGATACATTGTTCGAATTGGCAGTGTCGACAAAGGGAAATCTCTTGGAAGACCTTCAATATCTGAGGAAGTTGTTGGTGATTTAAGACGACTTGAGCAGAATCCGTAAACATCTTTAACAAGATTTCCTTAGCTGTTAGGGGTTCCAATTGCAACATGAAATTGAGCAATGGGTCCAAAGTATTGACGAAAGGATATGTTATAAAACATTTTTGAAATTAAAAATAGAGTGAACATATGCCTTGAACAACATTTTCAACATTTACTGTGATATTTAATCGCAATAAATTTGTTGAAAGAATTAGTTTTATTTTTTAATAAGATGAAGCATTTAGGTAACCAGTTATACAGATGCGTGTGGTATTAATCGTGAGTCCTTGGGCATTTAGTAAAAATCCAAAAGTGAGAGGCGGCACGTTTGCATGACCTACTTCGACCCTCTAATCGTTTATAAAAACTCTCTAGTATCAATTAACCCCCTGAATTCAAACCTATTTTCAGAATTTCTCGATCAAATCAGGTTATGAGATATTGCGATTTGAATATACGAGTACTACGCCAGTTTAAAGTCTGGAATAAAATTCTCTCAATTTGTTTTGTAAATTTTTGATAAAAAAACTCAGACAGGTGAACAAAATCAATCAGCTGCTAAAGAAAAACAAAAACTTAAATATTTTTGGAAAGAAGCTTGTTTTCTTGTTCTGATTTGCATGTTTTAAAAATAGATGATGTGATAGAGAAATTTTGTTGGGAGATTTGGGTTTGGCACTGACTTTTCTTTGAGCCACTCCAGGGTTTTTTGTATCTGATCAATGTCAAACGTAGTGTTATGAACATCTAAGAAAATCTTAAAATTACAATGGTTTGAATTCATTTCCTCAAATTTGAAATAGAAAAAAAGGTATTAGACTCATTGTCTCTATT